GGGCAGTGCCAAGGCGCTTTGCCACGCGTGCTTCACTGGGGCTGCTAGCAGCAGGTGAGGTGGCCCTGAGAGCGGCGGTTTGCGGGGAGCCACTGGCTGCCTTCCTGCTGTGGCAGGGAGTGCTGGCCTCCGTCACTGGATTTCCCTCTACCTTTGAACCTTTACCTCAGCTTGGTGAATCTGAGCCCCACAAGAGCTGTACAGGGCAACAACAGGATGGGTGCACAGACAGGGTCAGCTTGGGTGTTTTTCTTTATTCTATTTTTTTAGCATGCCAATACCCAGCTGTGCCACGAAAGCCAATTTTGAAGGCATTAAAGCCTGGCAAGCACAAAGAATGCTTGTAGGCGGAAAATCCTGCGACCTCTGAGGGCAGAAAGGAGCCTGCATCAGCTGGAGAGTGCTGGATCGCTTGTGCGATGGGGTCAGCGTGCTTGAGCTCAAGGGAGACACTTGGGCTAAGTGACAGGGCTGATTGTATACCTTCAGCTCTGCTTTGCAGCAGGGTTTGCTTTAAGACTTTCAGACTTCAGATCTTCACTGAGTCATTGTGGGAAGGGGGATTTGGTTTCAGACTCAAACAGTCCAGGGCACTGGCTAGGAAGAGGTAGGAGATCTGAGTTTCAGAGCTCAGGTCCATTCCAGAAATTAGCTGCTTAGACTCTCTGAAATGTTTTGGCTTAGAATAACAGATTTGAGCAAAGATTTCATTACATCAAAACTGCTCTGCCAAGCAGGCAGCTGGTGGAGCTGCTGGTGCTTGAGAGGAGGCAGCTTGGGGTAAGAGTCAGCGATGATGGGACCAGGTGGAGAGAAAATCGACAGGAAGATGTGGATGGGGAAAAACTCTGTCCTTGGGTATTGGGTGACAAGAAAAAAGCAAGGTTTGTGCATTCTCAGTGCCGAGCCTGCCTGGAAGGGGTCTTCTCCCAAGGCTGGGAGGGCAGCCCCTGTCTCTGCTGCCTCCACACTACCACAGTCTTCCGCCCTCTCTCCCGCAGGCGCCACGATAGCAGTGGAAGTGGGCAGTCGGCGTTTGAGCCGCTGGTAGCCAACGGTGCCCCTGCCTCTCTCATACCCAAGTAAGTGCCCATCAGGCCAAAAGCAACTGCTGGGAGGGGGGTCCAAAGGCCTGCAGGCTTTGGAAAAGGCACTTGGCTTTCGCGTGCAGAGCCCAGCTTCAGGAGAGAGCAGGAGAGGCTGTGGCCGTGCCTTCGGTCTGTCATCCTGAGCACAGGCTGGTGGCCGTAAGGGCTAATGCTGCTGCTGAGGCCTCTGTCCAAGCCCTGCACTGTGTGGAAAGAGCGGGGTTGCTTTCTTCTACCTGCCCCACGTTTAAAGGACATGTGTGCAGAGTGGTGGGGAGCTCATAAAATCTTCTTTAACTTCCTCTAGGCCTGGCTCTCTGAAGAGGGGCCTTGTCTCACACTGCCCAGATGACTGCTCAAACAAGAGGTCACGCACCTCTTCCATGAGCTCCCTCAACAATACGTATGCTGGTGGGATCCCCAGCTCCATCCGCAACGCCATTGCCAGCTCCTACAGCTCCAGCCGGGGCCTCTCACAGGTAGGAAACACCCTGCTGAAGGCAGTGCCAGAGCCCAGCGCAGAGTGGCTTGACCCTCCTCCGGGATTGCCCCGGGTAACTCAAATTCTGGGCTCATAAGAGGAGAGTGGTGTCGCTGGGTGCCTGGCAGCAAGCACTGCACAGAGTCTCCAGTGCAGCTCAGCTGGGCAGTTTCATGTCCTCATGCGTTAGGCAGGCTGCTGAGCCGGCAGCAGCAGGCAGCAATGTTCCTTGTCCTTCGGTGCACGCTGCTGGGGGAGTCTCCAGGATGAGCTGTCCTGCTGCAGTGCTTGTTTCACACTGAAGCAAGAAGTAGGGGTTTTTTTTCCCTTCCCTGCTGAGTCTCAGCCAGTCTGCTAGGGTGGATAGATCAAGGTGAAAGAAAAAAAAAAAAAAAAAAAAAAAAAATCACTTTGCTGCACTGCCACCTTTTCAGCTGAAGTCAGCAAGTATTGGAGCTGTGCACTCCCACTTTGACACAAGTCTCCTCAGCAGCTGCTGAGCTGTAATAAATCACTGTTTACATCCTGGGTCAGGCTTGCAGATGTGACAGTGGGATGTAGCCATGGCTAATGGAGCGCTGCAGTCTGTGTGGGGAAAGGTTTCCTCTGGCTGGGGGGAGTCTAAAATCTTTTGGGGTGGGATCCATCCGCTCTGAGCTCCTGGTGAGGAAGTGGCCTGCTCATGCCAGAGCAGCCCTGCGCACGTGAGGGCACCTGAGGCAGCCGGGCAGCCTCTGCCTGTGCCACATGAAAGGAAGAGCCGGCATCTGACCAGCAGCATCGTCCCTCCCCGTCCTCTCAGCCAGGCTGTAACAAGCCTGGAGGCCGCTTGTTGCCAGAGTGGATTCAGTTTGGGGTGGCCAGACTTTGCGCTCCATGGAATGTGGAAAGGAGTTAAGCTGTGTTGAAGCAAGAGAGGCTTTGGGCTTTTTAGCCTGGGGGATGGGATTTAACCTGTGGGCAAGCAGGAGGATGGGAGGCTGTGTTCCCTTGTGGGCCCCTGTACTAAGTTACTGCTGGTCACGCTCTGCATTCCAGCTGTGGAAGAGAAGTGGCGTGAGCATATCTCCGCTGTCCAGCCCAGCGTCCTCCCGCTCCCAGACACCAGAGTGGCCTCTCAAGAAAGCCAGGTAACTAGCCCGGCGAGTGCCTGCTCATCGATGCCAGCTGGGAAGAGAACCAGTTGCCTTCTGAGCTATCCTGGTGCCCAAGTCCTGCTCTCCACCAGAGCCGGGACAGTCCAGGCCCCTTTCTGAGACATGGCTGCTGGGTCACCCACTGGTTTGGCAAACCTCTTGTTGTGTCCATTGATGTCCCTGCCTCCTTGTTACACTGTGGTCGCGGTGACAGCGCCATCCCTGCCATCCTCCCCAGCCAGATTAGAGATTTAAGGGCTCAGATTTGCCGTGGAAGCGATGTTGCCTTTTGTCATTGTTGTGGCTCCGGTTGCTGGTCGCTGAAACATTGGGCAGAGACAGGCCCTGATTTTTGCCATCTCCTCAAAATCAGTTCGTGGGAGCTGCAGTAGGGTTGTATTTTTAGCATCTGCCTCAGAGCACAGGCCCTCGTTCTCCTCTCTCCTGGCTTAGAGAAGGACCTGATTTTGTTTTTTTACTTACGTCAGAAGTAAAATGGACACAACTGCCCGCCCTGGCGATGGAGTGGGTCCAAGCCAGGGACCTGTGAGTGGCAACGGCTCCTGTCCGGGACCCCTGGCTGCTGCCCTGAGGCTGACTTGCTCTGTGGAGGGTGCACAGGCTCGGTGGCCTGAGCAACCTGGGGTCCTAGGGAGGGGAGCAGCTGCTCTACCTGGAGCCTCTTTCAGGCTGATGCGGTGAGGGCAAGGCAGTTGTCCTGAGGTCTGTTGATTGGTGGAGACAACGAAACACACCAGGGATGCTGGTGGGAGTCCTCAGCGTGTTCAGTCTTGCCCCTGGGGACGGGGCCAAGCCTGGAGTTGATCCTAACTGGCTCTCTCCCACTTGCACAGGGAAGAGGAGTTGCATCGCTCCAACACTTCCACTCCAGTGAAATCCGACAAGGAGCTGCAGACAGAGAAAGGTGAGCGTAGGTGGGCCCCAGCTCTGTGCCTGTGTTGGATGGACCACCGGTGCAAGTGAGGAGCAGGACAGGAGGTAGCTGAGGTCTGCAGGTGGGATTGGCTTGAGATGTCATCTGGAAATTAGGAAGCTGGTCCCAAGGCAGTGAGTGGCACTTCTGCTGGCCTCAGCAACTGCCCTAAAGGCATTTCCAGGTGATAAACCAGGGGTGCTGACAGTGTCAGAGTGCTAGCCTATGCCTAGGAGCTGGCTTGCAAGGGGGAACACCAGCCCCCAAGCCAGCACAGGTCCAGGTGTCAGCCTTGGGGCAAGATCTGCTGTGGTACAAGTAGCACCCTGATCAAATTCCAGGCTGAGCTTATTCCAATGCTTCTTCCGCTAAAATGGAGAGGAAATCCTTTGTGCCTGTTGCAGACAAGGTCCTGTGGAACAACACTAGATGTGGCTCACGCAGGTTGCATGGTTTGTGGTTTGGGCAGGCAGTGTGCAAGGACCATCCGTGGAGGTGGGGAGGGGCCACTGCCCTGCAGAGCCCCAGCAGGCTCTTGTAACAAACTGCCCTGGGATGTGTTGTGGCCAGCTGCTCTTCCAGGGCATCACAGCCTTGTCCTCGGCTTAAAGCCGTGCCCCTAGCTCTGGCCTCTGCGATGGGTCATCCAGAGAGGAGTCAGAAGGGACAACTCCGTTGGTACAAGCCAAATGCCTCCTCTGCCCAGAGCAGGTCCTGACTTGTCTCCTTCTGTAGTGGTGGAGACGCCCATGCGGAAGAAGCAGAATTCCCTGAGCCCGCAGTCCATGTCCGGGAGCAGTGGGAAGCGCAAGCGGAAGATCCAGTTACTGTCGTCTCGTCGCGGGGACCAGCTAGCGCTGGTACGTCGCTGTCTCGCAGCCCCTTTTGCCCTCCTCTGGCAATAGAATGTGCTCACTGCAATTTCTGCAGGGCTGGGGGGAGACTGACCTGCCTGCCCTCAGGAAGGAGGCCCCGTCCTTGGCCGAGTGGGAAGTGACGCTATCCCCAGCCCCAGTGTCTGGTGGGCTGTGCGTGATTGTGCTGCCTGCTGCCGGACCAGGTAATGGCCTGGGGAAGGCCTGCCGTGCCCTCAGCGCCAAGCCGGGGGCCAAAATGAATGGGGATCGGAGCTCCGCGGTAGCGTGCTGTGGCAGAACCACCTGCTTCACGGGTCTTGCGACGGCCAGCCTTCACCACATGTTCAGAGAAGCTCTGCCAGCTTCCCTGAGAAGGAGCTAAGCCGCTGCTCTCTCTTGGCAGCCCCCGCCACCTCAGCTGGGCTACTCCATCACATCGGAGGACCTGGATGCGGAGAAGGCGGCAGCATTGCAGTGGTTCAACAAAGCCTTGGAGGATAAGGCTGGTAAGGGCAGACTGGGAACGTGGAGAGGACAGCAAGGAGTAGGAACCCAGGGCTAGGGCTGGCAGGGCAGTGGAGTGTCTGCGTAGCGCAGGCTGGGGAAGCTCCTTGGTCAGTCCTGCTTGGTCCTCAGGTCTGGGGATGCTCTTGGTGCTTCAGACTCAGGAGAGCTTGTGCCCCAGAGTCCCCAGGGTGATGGGTGAAGTTCCCCAGGGCTGGAGCTGTGGGATGTTCATGCAGTTTCCCTACCTGCTGGGGAAGCTCTGCTAAGGGGTAGTCCCCTACAGCGAGTTGTGGGTCCTGATTTCTTGCTGCTTCTCAGTAGATGCCGTCCCCAGCACCACTGCAGAGACTACATCTGTGTCCAGGCCGCTGGCATTTGCCATGACCTCCCCAGGGCCTGCGTCTGCCTCAACAGCTCCTGCCGCAGCCAGCACCAATGCGCTGCTGGACAGCTTGAAGAAGATGCAGAGTGGCCAGGCTGTGCCTGTGCCAGCAGGTGAGGAGGAGGAGGGTCGTCAGAGCAGGACTTTGACAGAGCAAGGCAGGTGCTGCGTGGAGCTCTGCATGGCCTTTGTGGGAGGCAGGTAGCAAAACTCTCTGCTCAAATGCTCTCCTGGCAGCGGAGCTGGCATGCAGGTCTTGGAGGGGCTTGAGCTTGTGGTCCTGTTGGCAGCTGCAGTAAGTGTGGAGGGCTGGGTCTGTCTGGTACAGGCTGTTCTGGGAGCCTTTGCAGCAGTGGGGTGGGTGCCTGGCAGAAAGTGTCTGTAGATGACCCCCTGTCCCTAAATAAGCTCTCTCCCCCTTATCCAGACTCAGCTGGAGCTGCAGTAGCATCCCAGCCACCTTCATCAGCTGCACAGCTGCCCGCTCCTGCTGTATCGCTGGAGTTGAGTTCTCTGCCTGCCACCTCTGCTGATACCAAGCGCTGCCCCTACTGCCGCCCCTGCCTTGGGGGTGCAGGCCCCCAGCAGCCTGGCACCTCCTGCGTTCACGGAGCTGGGCCAGACCCCCAGCAAGCCCCCCTCCTTCCCGAAGCCAAGCATCCTTTTCGGGATGCTGAACACCCCTCCTGCCAGCCAGCCGGCAATGACTGCGGCTCCTGCTGTGCCCGGCACAACTGCTGCTGTGCCCACCACGACCGCTGCTGTGCCCACCACGACCCCTGTCTTCAAACCCATCTTTGGCGCTTTGCCGAAAAGTGAGAGCACAGCACCCTGTACGGCTGTTGTCTCTGCTGTGGTCACTGTGTCTGCAAGCTCAGGCCCTTCCTTGACATCCTCTACCACCACCATGTTCAAGCCTATCTTCGGCAGCATCACCACAGCTTCATCTCCAGCGAAGGCCTCTCCTTTCGCCTTCAAGCCAACGTCACAGCCGGCCTTGGCCACAGATCTGCCAGCAGCCTCCACGACTACGCTGGCAGGATTCACAGGTCTCCCTAATGTTATCTTCACCACCGCAGCTACAACTGCCACCACTCAGAGTTCCTCCACAGATGCCACCATTAAACCCGTCTTCAGCTTTGGACTCAACCCGCCCACCTCCACCAGCCCCACCACCAACCTGACCATCACCACTGCCACATCCACCAGCACGTCGCAGCCCTTCCTGTTTGGGGGCCCAGCCAGCTCCGCTCCCAGCACAGAAACCAGCTTTGCCACCCCAGGGCCCGTGTTCCAGTTCGGAAAGCCACCTTCAGCCACGGTCACTGCCACCACCAGTGTCCCAGGAGGCCCTCCCTTTGGCCAAGCACCTTCAAACTCGACGGCTCCTACCACCACTGTGGGCTTTAGCATATTTGGGGGCACCACGCTGACCTCTTCTACCCCAGCCACCACAGGTCAAACGACACTGACATTTGGCTCCTCCGTTTCAGCTTTTGGCAGTTCCTTCAGCACAGGCACGAAGCCACCACCGCCGTATCCCAGTGCAGCGAGCCAGCCCACCTTCAGCACGAGTGCTGCAGAGACCCAGCTGCCTGCCAGCAAGCCTGCTGCTGGCCCCGTCAGCTTTGGCCCCCCATTCAGTTTTGGAGCACCCACAGCCCAGTCCACTGCTCAGCCGGCATTTGGCAGTGGTGCTCAGCCAGCCTTTGGCACAACCAGTGCCCAGGGCTCCTTTGGCACCAGCAGCACCCAGGCAGCATTTGGGACCACCACTTCGGTCTTCTCTTTTGGGACAGCCACCTCCACTACTGCCAGCTTTGGTTCCACCACCCAGACCACAAGCAGCAGCACCGGCACCGCCATCTTTGGCACCACTCCTTCTCCTTTCTCCTTTGGGGCGACCACCCAGCCAGGCCCCTCTGCCAGTGGCTTTGGAATTGGCACTCCTGCCCTGAGCAGTGGCTCTCCCAGCGTGGCATTCAGCTTTGGGGCTGGGCAGAGTGGGGCAGCCCCGGCAGCAACGCCGTTCGGCTCTTCCCTGACGCAGAGTGCATTGGGTGCGCAGAATCAGAGCACGCCCTTCGCCTTCACTGTGCCCAGCACACCCAACAACAAGCCCGTGTTCGGAGGTGAGCTGGGGTGGATGGGCCTTCGCTGGGGGTGAAGGGCAGGGCAAGATTTAGGCAGCAGCTTTCCTGCCCGACCTTGCTGAGCTCCCCAGGCTCAGCAGCCCTAGAGGGGCTGGTGCTTGTGCCGTGCAAGGACAAGGCGCTTCCATCACAAGTTGTCTGGGTCCCCAGCCCTCTGTGGTGGAGGAGAATCCTTAAATTCTGCTCCTTGGCGCCTTTGAATGCACCAGCTCCCTGGCTCCGTGTGAGTGCAGAGCCCAGCCAGGTGCCCTACAGAAGCCAAGGTCCTGCCAGGGCTTAAAAGCAATCTGGAGCTTCTTGGCAGGTAGAAACACTGCCAGCCAGCAATTGCAATCGCTTCCCACTCGCTCTCTGAGGTTTTCCCTACTGCTTTGCACCCTCTCTGAGCTGCCTTACCTCCCACAGAGCTGAAACCCACATGCTGAGCAACTACTTGATCTAGAAAGACAGAGACCTTTGTTCCTCCCTGGCCTACAAATCCTTCTGTGCTGCCCTGCTGGCAGGAGAGTCCAGGGATTACCATGAGTGTGCAACCTCTGCATTAAAAGGGCTTCTCGGGTGAAGAAGCTGGTCCCCAAGGACTGTGGCCCACAGATCTCCCACCAGGAGCTGAAGCCTCCTGCGGGTGCCACCAGCTGCCGAAGGCCAGGCTCTTCCTCCTTTGCTGACCCTGGCTCATACTGGTGTGTTGTTTTCCAGGAACTCCTGCGCCCACCTTCGGGCAAAGCACACCCGTCCCGGGTGCAGTGGGGAGTGGAAGCAGTAGCCTTTCCTTTGGGACACCCAGCACTCCTGCCTCGGGCTTCGGAGGAGTTGGCGCTTCCTTCGGTAAGGAAGGAGCTGGTGCTTCGGCTGTGGGGAGCTGATGGGTCGTGTCCCCTCGGGCTGGGGATGGTGGAAGGGCTAGGCTGTGCTCTGGGAGCCAGCTCGAGTGGTACCTGCTGGGCTCCGGGGGATACAAAACCTTCCATTCCCCCCGGTATGGGGATTACGCTGCCTCCCGCACCAGCTGCCAGTGAGGCTGCAGAGACCTGAGCGACCTTTCTGCCTCCAGGTTCGTCCACCCCCGCCTTCTCCATCGGGGCAGGATCCAAGACGGGCGCTCGCCAGCGGCTGCAAGCGCGGAGACAGCACACCCGCAAAAAGTAACCTCTGGTGCTGCTGGGCCCCACCGCCGGCCTGCGCGAGAAGCCCGTGCGTGCACATGGGGTCTGGTCTAGAGTGGCCCCCGTGGCGGGACCAGTGGTGATGGGGCCAGGCACCCATCTCTGATGCCAGCCGGAGAACTGTGCTGGGTGGCAGCGACCGGGTGGGATGGGATGGGATAAACCAAACTCTTCTTACTTGAACAGTTCCACAGCCAAGGCTGGATGAACCTCTGTACATATCTGCAGCGTTTCCTCCCTCACTTTAATTTGCCATGTTTCATAATGTGTAAATCTTTACCCATTTGCTTCTTCGAGCTGTTCCTGTGTCCTCCTCCCCAGCCCCCTGACCATCAGCTCCCTGCCCTGCGGCACAGCAGCCGGCCGAGCTGCATGTCCCCGCTCGGAGCCTGGCTGGAGATGTGCTGCGTTCCTGCCGGCCATGGTTCCAGGCTGCTGAGGGTTGCCGTCTTCACCAGATCCCAAAATCTTTCCCCGTTGTTTCATGCCATGGCCTGGTGAACATGCTCCCTCCGGAGGGCCCTGCTTTGTTGCTGTCCCTGCAGAACACGAGCTGGGGGTTAGTGCCAGCCTGGTGTGGGCGTCTTGGTGCCATGGGTCACCAGCTCGGCTTCTGCAGCTGGGTGACGACCCCCTTGCTGTGACTTAATCTGCCATCAGGCCTCCAGCCAAGGATGCGCCATAGCCAGGGCCCTTGGCTGGAGGCGCGGGGTGAGGATGGGGGGCCCTCCACCCCTTTCCCCGCTGCTGAGCTCTCGCTGCTCCCCACCCTGCTCGTGTAAAGCCCCTTCTGTTTTGCTTTATTCGTGCTCCCCTTTTGATGCGCTCATTGAATCGAGTTTGGAGGAAGAACTGAACCGTGTGTGTGGCGGCATGTTGGTTATGCCGGATTTGCTGTTTGGAGTTTCTTTTTTTGGGGGGCGCCTGCCCCTTTGCGGGGGATGCGCCCTGGCTAATTGGATGTTGACAGTAGCATCACTGCGTGGCTGCTCGTGCTGGGGGAGTTGTCCCTTTGTTGTCGTGACCGAAAGGCGGCCAGGGAGAGGAGGACAGGGCCTGGACCCGCAGGCGTGGGGGCTCCAGCCCTGGCAGTCTCTCCCCTCCCCTCTCTCCTGCTGCCCCTTCCCCACCTTGGGGTGCTCTGGAGCCACTAATAGAAGGAGTCCAGGGCAGATGGGTTCCCCATCTCCTCCCCAAATCCAAATTGTTTTTTATTTTTAGCTCATCCCCATCCTTTTGGGTTTTACCAGCTCCTAGGAGCTACGGTGCTGCCTCCCCTGTTCCCATCCAGCCAGGAGCAGG